AGGGCATCAATTAAATCATCTACAAAAGAAACAGATTCGCAGACATAGATAACAATCTTATGGTTACTAGTGGAAAGGGGGTGGGAAGGGATAAATTTGGGGGTTTGAGATTTGCATATGTTAACCACTATATATAGATTTAAAAAAACAAATTTCTTCTGTATAGCACAGGGAACTATATTCAATATCTTGTAATAACCTTTAATGTAAAAGAATATGAAAATGAATGTATGTATGTATATGCATGACCAGGACATTATGCTGTACACCAAAAATTGACACATTGTAACTGATTATACCTAAATTTATATTAGAAAAAAGAGTAGAGGAGTAAAAAATGAGAAGCTGTGACCATGTAAATAGGGCTAGTTGACTATGAACTTCACAACTTCCCATTCAGTTGAGGAACTTCCCAAGTCCCATATCTTTACATCTTTCTTCTCAGGTTGGTCAAATTCCCTAAAGAAAACTCTCTGGTCTCTTAACTAGAGGGCTGGCTGCTAGCATTCTGGTGGCCACATGAGGAAGGAGAACTTGAGGTCTCAATATCCAGTAAGACCTATTTCACTTAGTTTTTCTATTTTCCGTGTCTTCCCCTCTTCCCCCTGACCCCAAACCACAATTGTGCCTGGTGGTTCCCAGGTAGAAATTTCTCTTTTATCCTTTCAGAAAATAAATCTTCAATAAACCTAGCAGCATAGAGAAGGAAAAGGATCTGATGTGACTGTTTCCACGTCAGACTTTCAACTCAGTTTTTAACTTTTCATTTTGAAATAATTCCTGACTTAAAAAAAATGTTTCAAAAATAGTACAGAGAGTTTCCATACACTGTTCACCACTATAGGAAGCTTTTTAGAAGTACAGCGTTCCTGGGTCCTGCCCCCAGAGATTCTAATTGGGTCAGTCAGTGTTGAGACACAGGAATATATTATTCCAAAATGTCCTTAAATAACTAATATGCATCCAGGTTTAGGAGCCACTTTCTTAGTGATTGTAGAGATTTGGAAAACATTCATTTATTCATTCAATAAAAATTTATCAAACAATAACAATGTATTAAACACTGCTGAACGCTAGAGATAGAGATGAATAAATTAGGGTCTCTGTCCTACAGTTGCTTACTGAATAGATAAAACAGAGATAAGCAGAACTGATTTGGTGGAATAAATGCTTTATTAGAGCTACACAGATGCAGGGAACAGTTTTGGGGTTTGGGTTTTGTTTTTTTTTTTTAAGTTGGGAGAATTGAGAACAGCTTGTGTCTGAGATAAAAATTTGAGGCAGAACTTGAAACCTTAGCAAGAGTTTCCCAAGTGAAGAGTGTGTTCTAGTAAGAAAGGATAATATCCATAAAAGGAAGGAATTATGAAAGTTTTGGCACATTCATGGAATGGTATAAGAAGATCGAAGTAGTGTGATGTATGTTGTGGGCAGTGGAGGGAAGTGAGTTTGGAGATGTAGGTTGAGGGTGGATTTTACAGGACTTTGTATGCCATGACAAGTTTGGGTTTTATCAGACAGTCAATAGGAACAGTGGATTAATGCAGATGGGGAGTCATCTTTCAAGCATGATGGTTTCTTTTTTAGGAAGAAAATGTAGGTGGCAGCAAGGGATATGACCCTTAATAAGGCAAATGGAAATAGGGATTTATTGAGGAAGATACTAGAATACTCTGAGTATCTATGAAGGTCAGTATTAAGGCAAAGTTGTTATAAACATCCAATAAAGAAGTCATTTACTACAGTCTCTAGTAGAAATAATTGTTTGTAATCCTTTTTCCTTGTTTTTGTTTTTTCTAGGTTTGAAGTCCTGAGTTTTCTCATGTTATGTTATAATTCTGCTATCGTGTATATGCCTGCTTCATCTTACCAGTCTCTTTGTCGAATGGGCTCCAGGTAAAAATACTTAGCATTAACCTTCATGCTCATTTATTTGGCAAGTATTTGTTGAGCACATTCTCTGGTAGGCATTGTTCCAACTTCTGGTGACATAGCAGTAAACAAAACTCAGGGAGCTTACATTCCTATAGGAGTCTTTATCCTCATGTATCATGACTTCTTGAAGATATTTCAGTATTAATTATTTTCTAGCTGAACATTGAGTTAAGCCAAGAAAGATGTTTTAGGTTTAGAGTGGTTTAGTGATATACCAAATCACTGTCTCGATTTTTATAAATCACTTTGAGAGCTTCGAAGAAGTAGTTCTCTATGTAGAGAAAATCTTTAGAAATGTGAACTTTTTCTTTATCTATTTCACAAATAACTGTCTCTGCTTTGGATAAGATTAGCAATAGCAGCAATTATGTGTACGTCTCATTTGTATTTGTGTGTTCTACTCTTTACTAAATCAGAATTTCTAATAATTTGAACAGACTTGAGCTGAAATTTGAATTTCCACTATTGAAAAAAATTTAGTAATATATATTAGTTTGGAGTCAGAGGAACAGAATTTTAATTATAAAAGGAACACTGAGTTTATCCTGCCCAACTGATTTTTATTTGAGGAAACTGAGCACCCCCCAACCCTGAAAGTTAAATGTTATATTAGTTTTCTATTGCCTCATATCAAATTACCATGAATTTAGCATCTTAAAATAGCATGCATTTATTCTTTCACAGTTTCTGTGGCTCAGGAGTCCAGGCGTCACTCAGCTGGGCCCTCTGCTTAAGGTATTAACAAGCTGCAGTTAAGATGTCAGCTAGAGTTGCAGTCTTATCTCAGGTTCATTTGAGGAATTAGAAACTTCTCTTGGCAGAATTCAGTTCCTGTAGTTGTAGGACTAAGGGCTTCAATATCTAGTTGACTGTCTGCTGAAGGCCAGCATCAATTCCTTGCCATGTGAGCCTCCCAACATAGACAGCCTGCAACATGGCAGCTCACTTCTTCAAAGCAGAAAAGGACTGAGAGAGAAAGACCTGCACTACAGTCTTACATAACATGATCACATACTCATGTACACGTGTTCATTGAAATCCTATCGCCTTTGCCATGTTCTATGAGTTACAAGCAAATCTCAGGCCCCACCCACACTCAAGAGGAGGGGATGGTACAGGGTGTGAATACAAGGAGGGAGGGATCATAGGGATCATGGCCTCCAAGAGCCTCCCCACCACCAATGCTTTGCATGAGTTTATGCTGTTGTCTTACGGGGTGAGGGTGTGGTCCTGTTTATAACAAAACTCAATTTTGCTAACTGGAGGAAGACCAATTTAAACTAGCTATAAGTTTGATTTATAGGTTATCTTAAAATAATTATATTATTTTTACTTGCCGGTAATAATTTGGTTAATGACTAATAAAATTCTTGTCTCTAATCTAGATACTGTTATCAAGAGAGTATATTGTTTAAGCACTTACTTAAATGGAGGAGGGTATAGTTCAAATGGTAAACCGCATGCTTAGCATGCATAAGGCCATGGGTTCAATCCCAAGTACCTCCTATAACAATAAATAAATAAATCTAATTACCTCCCCCCACCGAAAAATAAATAAATAAAATAAGCACTTACGGCCTGTCTACAAATATATTTATTTTAAGTGACTGTTTTGGGATCATTAAAACAAATCTGTCAAATCTCTAATTTGTAACATTATTGTGGCATTTAGTAGAGTTTCTTAATAACAAAAGTGATGATAGAGTTTAGTAGTCCTCAAATTTTTATTCCCATGTTTCCTAAAGATTTTTGAAAAGCTCTGTAGCCTTTGTACATTTTTAAGTTAACATTTAAAGTTTTTATTCTATCTTAGTTTCAAATGATATGATTTCCAGTATGTAAATATTGACATAAGATAACAAGTAATTGTTGAGTCAGTATTTTAAATGTATATAATGTAAATACCACAGTGATCTAATTATGAACAATATCCACCATCATCCATATGCGAAATAAATGGACAAACTTCCCTTTAATAGTCTAACATTCCTTTTTTCTTCTTAAAATTGAATTTCTTGTCTACTTTGTCCACATAATCTTATCCTAATATAATGCCATTTTATACTTACAAGTCTTCTGTTGATCACCTAATTGTATATCTCTGCTACCAAAAAAAAAAGTAAATTAAAATTTAAAAAATATTTCTTGAGAGACCATAATGCACTAAACACTAAAAAATTTCTTCTGGACTCACCATTACAATTATTTCTAATAAATTAATATATTAAAATAATAGAGATACATAACAATTTTTGATAATTGTTAAGCATAACTTTTCTGGAAGCATCTCTTAATGGGATGAAAAATAGAGAATTATTTTGATTAAAAAAGGCCTCAAAGATATCAGTATTTTATTTGTTTTGAGAATTCTGTATCTTCCTATTCATCCTGATACAGTTGGGGATATGTGAAAGTTATGCATTTCTTTTGTGAAGAGCGGGAAGGATGACTATGAAAGAGATAGCTATTTGAGAAAAGTTACTGCTTTCATTGATACAG